ATACAGTCAATTCGCTTTACAGCATTGCTTACTGTGAAGTGAAATAACTGCATATTCACTGCTTACAGTGTGAGCAAAGAGCCCAGCAACGTGAGGAGGGAACTGAGTGAGGTGGAACAGAGTGAGATTTCTGTTAAGGAATGTGGTGAGAGTAGGAATTCGGTGCAGAGGGGGGGAAAGAGGTGCTTAATATAAAATATATAATATTTATATTAAAATAATATAAAACATGTCTGGGAATATTGCAGGGCAGCTGAGACCTGTTGCATGCACAGTGTGTGTCATGTGGGAACTCCAGGATGCTTTGTGTGCCCTGGAAGTGTAGGAAGTGCCTCCGGCTGCTTGAGCTTAAGCTCAGGGTTTCTGAGCTTGAGGAGAGGTTGGTATCACTACGAGGCACCAGCTTACGGGAGACTGAGGAGTTCACGGATCGAACATTTCAGGAGGTGGTCACCCCACAGCCACAGAGGGTTCAGAAGGAGAGTGAATGAGTGAGTGGGTGACTACCCGGCAGGTTAGGAAGAGGGGACGGGCAGTGCAGAAATCCCCTAAGAGTGTGACACTCACAAACCGGTTTGGTCACAAACTGTACTGGTCAGGATGATGACACCTCTGGGGAGGGGAATCAAAAGCAAATGGATGCACAGGGAAGAGTGTCAATGCAATTGTCATTGGGGACACAATGGTGAAAGGAGTAGACAGGCATTTCTGCAACCAAAGACATGACTCTCACCTTTAAGGCCATCCACGGCCTTGCCCCCATCTACCTCTCTGACGTGCTGACTCCCTACCAACCTACCCGCTCCCTCTGTTCAGCGGGCTCCGGCCTGCTCCATGTCTCCCGCTCGACCCGCCCTCGTGGCCGGGCTTTCAGCCTCTCTGCGCCCACACTCTGGAACTCCATCCCATGGTCCCTTCGCATCGCTTCCTCCCTTGCCTCCTTCAAGGCCGGTCTCAAGACCCTTCTCTTCGACCGTGGCTTTGATCTCCCTCCAACTCTCTGCCTTCCCTCACCCCTACACCACCCCTCCCCCATGCTTGGGCCCCGACACCTGACTGTTCAGCGCTGTGGGACGTCCTCCCAACGTGAAAGGTGCTCTCTAAACGTAATTTTGTTGTTGTTGTTGTATGTTGCCTCCCTGGTGCCAGGGTTGAAGACATCATGGAGCGGGTGTAAAACATTCTACAGGGGGAAGGGAAACATCCAGAAGTCGTGGTCTATGTTGGGATCCATGATGTAGGGAAAAAAATGGCTGAGATCCTACAGGGAGAATATCAGAAGCTAGGAAAAAAGTTAAAGAGTAGGATCTCAAAGGTGGTGATCTCTGGATACTCCCAGTGCCTCATGCAAGTGAGTATCAAAACAGCCGATCAAACACATGAATGCATGGCTGGAGAAATGGTGCCGAAAGGAGGACTTCAGGTTCCTGGATCATTGGGACCAGTTCTGGGGCAGGTGGGCCTGTACAAGGTGGATGGTTGCACCTGAACAGGGCTGGGACCAATGTCCTCGCAGGGAGGTTAACTGTGCTGTGGGGAAGGCTTTAAACTAATTTTGCAGCATCAGAGAGGACAAACAAGTTACATAGAGGGCTGGGAGAGATGAACAGCAATGTAGTCAGGAATAATAATAATAATAATAATAATAATAATAATAATAATAATAATAATCCTTGCATTTGATATAGCGCTTTTCACGTCGGGAGGACGTCCCAAAGCGCTTCACAGAACACACTGTAAAGTGAATTGACTGTATGTTTGTGGGCGAACGCGGCAGCCAATTGTGCACAGCAATGTCCCACAAACAGTCGTAGATTGAAAATGACCAATTTATTATTGTTTTTAGTTTTGGAGGGATTATTATTAGGCTCTGTGTGGAGTAAGGAAACTTGTCCAAGGTTTCGCCCTGTGCCTGGAATTGAACTCAGGTCTCTCACTTGCAAAGCGAGTGCTCTAACCACTGAGCTACAGGACTCCACATGAATAATACTCTACAGGAATAATCCAGAACAAGGGATTAGACAGGGGAGAAATGCAGAACAGACTGAGTCGGTCTTGGAGTGCTTGTGTGTAAATGCACGGAGTGTGACTAATAAGGTTGGTGAGCTTCAGGCTCAAGTTGCCACATGGAGTTATGATGTAGTGGAAATAACGAAGACCTGGCTCAAACAAGGGCAGGAATAGGAGCTGAATATTCCTGGCTAGAATGTATTCAGGAGGGATAGGGAAGGAAAAGAATGAGGGGGGGGGGATGCGGCAATGTTGATTAAAGACACGGTTATGGACTGGAAAGGGACGATGTGCTAGAGGGTCCAAAAACAGAAATAATTTGGTTAGAGTTAAGGAGCAGAAAAGGAGCTGTTACTCTGTCAGGTGTATACTATAGACCACCAAATAGTGGGAAGGAGATAGATGAGCAAATCTGCAAGCGGATTTCAGAAAGATGCAAAACCAATAGAGATAATGGGGAACTTCAATTATCCTAACATAGGCTGGCAAAATAACAGTGTAAAGGCAAGGAGGGGGAAGGATTCCTGAAATGTGTGCAGGATAATTTTTTGGATTAGTATGTATGCAAGTTCTGGGCACCACACTTTAGGAAGGATGTCAAAGCATTGAAGAGGGTGCAAAGGAAATTTACCAGGATGGTACCAGGAATGAGGGATTTCAGTTATCAGGAGAGGTGAGAGAAGCTGGGATTATTCTCCTTGGAGCAGAAAAGGTTAAGAGGAGACTTAATAGAGGTTTTCAAAATTATGAGGGGATTCGATAGGGTAAACAAGGAGAAACTATTTCCACTGGCGGGTCAGTTGATAACCCGAAGACACCATAAAATAGTTGTTAAAAAAACACAGAGGGGAGGTGAGGAGAATTTTTTCACACAGTAAATTGTTCGGATCTGGAATGCATTGCCTGAAAGGATGGTGGAAGCCGATTCAACATCAACTTTTAAGAGAGAAGTAGATAATCATTTGGGGAGGACAAGTTTGTGGGACTATGGGGAGATAGCGATTGAATTGTATAGCTCTTTTCAAAGAGCTGGGAGAGACACGATGAGCCGAATGGCTTCCTTTTGTGTATAATTCTATGAAAGTGCCTACAGAAAGATGGGTAATAGAAGATATTGACATCAACGTACAACACAGTTTCAGTTTTTGTGAGCATTGTCTATCATGGTGATTTAATGAACGCTGATTGAATTTGTTGTAATATACAGGGAGAAACCAATTTATTTAAGTGTGCAACTAGCCGTGATTTTGAGCAGCCATTTGCAGACAGTATCAGTGGAAGTCACCAATTTTCAGTGAAGATTCTATTAAAACGTTCTGTTTACAGATAAAGAACACATTACATCATGAGTCCCAGGACTGTTGTGTTCAGGCACTAATTTAAAAAGATGCTTAATTATCTTGAATACTACAAAAAATCACTCCGGGCACTGGAGAGAATCCACAAATGAAGCAGACAGCTTTCCTCTGAAGTGCAACTATATTTTTTTGCATTTGGTCAGTAATGGAGTCCTGTAGCTCAGTGGTTAGAGCACTTGCCTCACAAGCGAGAGAACTGGGTTCGATTCCTGGCAGGGCGAAACGTTGGGCAAGTTTCCTTACTCCACATGCCTGTTGACCTAGCAGTAAGTAGGAACCTGATTGTTAGTCGATTGGTTGATCGCTTTTCCAGGGGTAATAAATCCTTCAAGAAAATACTAATAATAAATTGGTCACTTCAATCCACGGGTGTTTGTGGGACACTGCTGTGCGCAATTGGCTGCCACGTTTCGCCCACAAAAAATATACAGTCAATTTACTTTGCAGTATATTCTGTGAAGCACTTTGAGATGTCTAGAAGACTTGATAAAGTGCTTTATCAAATGCGAGGAGTAATTATTTATTTTTATCATAGTAATCTTTTCACCAGTTTGCCTAAAGAATGCACTGTCAATCTGGCGCATTTGGCAGCAATCTCGTCTCTGAGTCAGAAGGTTGTGGATTCAAACCCTACATCAGGACTTGGAATTCATATAGTCGAGCAGTGCAGTGCTGGGGTGTGCTGCATTGTTGGAGGTATCGTACTTTGGATGAAATGTTAGCCATGGTCCTGTCTGTGCGTTCAGGTGGCTGTTAAAAATCCAGTGGCATTTTTCGAAGAGAAGAGAGTTTCTCCCTGGGTCATGGCCAACAATCCCCCAAATAAAATCAGTCACTCACTTCATGGCTGTTTGTGGAAAATTGTTGTGCATATATTGGCTGCCACATGCTCCCACAAAATACACAATCACTTCACAGAATATTGTGTGAAGTGCTTTGAAATGTCCTCAGATGTGAAAGGTGCTATATGTTTTGCCCACAAAACATACAATCAAATTCCCTTTATAGTATATTCTGTGAAGCGCTATGAAACGTCTCAAAGAAGTGATAAGGTGCTATATCGAATGCAAGGATTATCATTATTATTATAATATCAAATGCAATGTTTTTTTATTGCAATGCCATATCAACTATGCATCCAAGTATTTAGTGCATGGTGTACATACTCCTGTTGGATATTTGGATCTAAATTGCCGGAGTCATAAAAGGCTTCACAAATAGCAAATCCCAGATTTATTTTAGATGGTCCCTTCGAATTTTGCTCAGAACTAATCTCAGTGTCAACTTCTGCGTATTTCCACAAGAGTCGGCCACGACACATTGGGATTTGATATTTGTGAACCTTTTTGTGACTCCAGATATTTTGATTCTACAAAACAAAGGATCTAAAAGTTACCTATCTTGGACAAGTTATCAGGGCAATAAAAACTAATGGTTAGTGTAGCTGTCCACCCATTTACGATGAAAGATAAACTTGGTTATTATGTTTAAGAAACATACAAGATACCTTATAACAAGTCATCTGCATTGAGCCAATATTGGAAATATCAATACTAATCAATTTTTATTTTCACAGCCCAAGTTGCTAGCACTGTGGCCCCTATGATGTGATGTATTACAGCAGGTACTTACTGATCTTATTCCTTGCCTCATTCACATTTTCTCCAAGTGCTTTGGCTTCAGCAAACCTGGTGAAAACAGTACACACAAAAGACAAGTAGAATGGATCAAAGAGATAGTTATAATGTACCAATATTAAGTATTCACCCCTAGATAAACAACATCTTGTATATTTCTGTATTATCTTGTATTATCTTGTATTAGCTTGTATTAGCTTGTATTATCTCTGATTCCCACTTACAAGGCTTCCTGTCCTCCATTACCTCAGTCAATCTGTGGAAAGCTAATCACCTTTGATGCCTTCCTCACAAGATTGGTTCGGATGAAGAAAGCCTTACGGCTTATTTTAGAAACATAGAAGGAGCCCATTTGGCCCATCAAGGTTCAGAATGGTTGAATGCTCGTCCACAGATAGTCCAGCGAGGTTCATGGTTGAGGAACATGAAGCTGCTGCTTTTAACGGAGTGGAGCAGTGGCCGGGTCGATAGGTTGCAGGAAGTTGCAGAGGCAGGATGGGGTGAGGCTGTGGAGGGATTTGAATGTGAGAATGAGGATCTTGAATTTGATGTTGCAGAGTTCACGAAAAACAGAGTGAGTGGGAGCCCAGATGTAAGTTGAACAACACATGGCGGTTGAATAAAACACCAAGGTTTTGCACCAGCTCCATGAGTTGGAGTGAGGATCCAGGCAGGTCAATGTGGTCAGTGCCTGAAGTGAGGAGGTGCTCTCACTGACATTCAACTGAAGAAAGTTAGAGTTCATGTAGAACTTGATGTCTGACACGCAATTGCTCAGATCGACAATGGTGCTGGGGTAAAGGTAGTTAGTGGCAGAAAGATTGAGTTGGGTAGACTTCTGCCATCTTTTAAAATGTTTAAAAAGATTAGAAGAATGGTAGAGTTTAGCTGCAAAGTGATCCAAGCCTCTTAATCCCAATTCAAAAATGCAATCAAACACAAGATAATAGTACTGGAGCTATAAACCTAAACAAATAAATGAGAACCCAACCAAAGTCCTTACAAGTTTGAAAGCAGAATTAAGATATTCCTTATTAAAACAAGGTCATTGTTAACATCAAACAGGCTCAGAGTTGGTAAACATATGCCCATTTACCAAAAGCCAAGTATCCAATGGACGGAAAGTACCTCGAGTTACAGTGTGCATTACAAATGAATCAGATATAATGAATTTCCCATAGCTTTTTAATGGAAAGATTAAGGACCTTTAATTCTATTTTGCAATAGAATTACAATTGTGGTAATGATAATCTGACCACAATAATTTACAGACATCATTATGCCTGGGATTTAACATAACAGAATCCATGATACATCATGAAAGGTTCTGAATTACAAATATTGTGTAGTTTTAAGTGCAGCTGGCAGCCTGGGATTGAATTACTGATGTGGGGATGAACCCCAGCAGACTAGCTCTGACTACTTTATCATTTCCTCCACTGAACAGAGCATCATTTTTCTTAATATTTTCTATAAGTCTCAGGTAATTGCAGATCTAATTAGTTGACCATGTTAGCTTCCAGCACATTGACTGCCACCACGCCCCAAAACTTTGGAACTCTTTCCCTCAATCCCTCTGTCTTGCCCTCTGCTTAACCATTTTCAGATCATGCCTGAAGACTTTCCTCTTCAGCTGTGCTTATTGTTACCTCCACCCTCGCCCTGGCTCGGCACAAGGCTCCAACAGGGTTAAGCGCTCCAAGATGCTATCTTTCTTGAGTGGCGCTATAAAATTTTTAATTGTTGTTGATTGTCATTTTGCCTTTCTGGGCGAGTACACAGTGAACGTGACAGTTGTGAACATATAGAGTGAATGTGACAGCTGTGAACATATAGAGTGAACGTGACAGTTGTGAACATATACAGTGAACGTGACAGTTGTGAACATATAGAGTGAACGTGACAGTTGTGAACATATACAGTGAACGTGACAGTTGTGAACATATACAGTGAACGTGACAGTTGTGAACATATAGAGTGAACGTGACAGTTGTGAACATATAGAGTGAATGTGACAGTTGTGAACATATAGAGTGAATGTGACAGTTGTGAACATAGAGTGAACGTGACAGTTGTGAACATATAGAGTGAACGTGACAGTTGTGAACATAGAATGAACGTGACAGTTGTGAACATAGAGTGAACGTGACAGTTGTGAACATATAGAGTGAACGTGACAGCTGTGAGAGCCAACTGTGCTCTGATAAACTCCAGCAGTATCACACTTCACTCTGCGGTCCCCAAGCTTTGGCTCTTATCAACTTTTCTCACCTAACATATCTCGCCTGCCACTTTCTGGAATTAGGTAAGGCAGGGTGCGTCTCTGCAGGGAGAGAGGCACATTCCATTCCCGATGGAACTCTCATGCTGGTTTGTATACTCTTAAGCATGGTGATGGTTTTCCATGATCAAAAAAAATCTGCATACACCTTAATTTTTAGCCTTTTAAAATAATTTATGTAATCTGCCTCAGCAATGGTTTGAGTTATTTCTAAGTGTACAGGGACACATCTGCAAAATTGACCAAGTGGGGTGGAATAATGCCTAGCCTATAGCAACAAATTTACTGTGTGGAGGGGATGGCAAAAACCTCTACTGATTTTGTTTAAAGCAGAATTTATCCATTTAATGTATCTTTTCAGAAAACCTTGGTTTAAAAAATTCACTTGTGATGTGTTTATTCCCTTTTCTTTTGAAAAATTAGCCTTTTGCAGATTGTGCTGATGTTGCAAAACATATGACTGATGTTGTATCTTAATCCTAGAGATACAGTTACCTAAAGCGACTAACCTAACATCTTACCAGGTGTCAGCCTGGCTCAGCTACTCGCACTCCTGCCTCTGCATCAGAACGTTGTGGGTTCAAGGTCCACATCAGGACTTTGATCAGTCCAGGCTAACAGTCTAATGCAGTGCTGGGGTGCTCTACATTGTCGGAGGTACCTTCCTTTGGATGAGATGTTAAACTGAGGTCTCATCTGCCTATTCAGATGGATTTTAAAGATCCTCTACCACTTCTCAAAAGGGGAGTCTCAGCCGAGTCCATTGATTGGCATTTCCTTTCATGATAACACTGTCGATTGGTGATACCCTTTTCTCGGTAAAATAATTCTTCCACAAATAATAATAATAATTTGGTCACTCAAACTACTATTGGCTGCCACGTTTCACCCAGCAAATAGTCACTATACTTTACAGTATATCCTGTGAAGCGCTTTGAGACGTCTCGAAGACGTGATAAGGCATTGTATCAATTGCAAGGATTAAGAATTATTGTGTACAACTCTTTGAAGTTCTGTTTTCTGATAATGGAGAAGTTGGGAACCACTATTATTTTCAAAGGTTATTCATCTGCAGAAGAGAATTTTGCATAATGTGTCAAAGACCCCCATCAAATACTTCATCATAACTTTTAATTTAAAATGCATTAATTAATCATTTGCTTCTTCCTGCTCTTAGGCATAGTCTGGACATGACTCACCGCTGTTTCAGAAGCAATTTGTTGTCATCAATAGTCCCACTATCAGCAGAGTCTGTCCTGAAGATTTCAAAAGCTTCCTGACGTCCAAATGACATTTGTCCTTCTGTGGGGAGAAGAGGCAGAGACACTCTGTGTAAATACCAGCACACAGACATGCTATTTGGTGCTGGTTGTATAAATACCTGAATCTAAAAAAAAACCTGAAAGATCATCTGCTAATTAATAAGTGTGAAACGTTACCTTATCCATCTGCAATCTACTGCTAAGAGCAGTAGAGATGTTTTAAGCTCTTGTTCAATTTATAGGGTACAAAAGCACAATCTACACTTTCAGTTACATTTCTAGTGTTGAAAACGTTTTGATAATAAGACTTGTGTTTGATGCAGCACCGCGTAATGTAAAAAATGTCATATAAGCACTTCACATAGTGTTGCGCTTTGAAGTTTAGTGATTGCCATTGTGCAGGCAAACAAAGCAATGTGCTTCAAAATGCAATGAGATGAATGACTGACTCATCAATTTATGAGTGGATTAGGATGGAGGAGCACAGGAAGTCTTCCAAAAGTGACAGCAATTAAACACAATTAAGAGGCTCAAACCACAACCTGAAATTTGGAAATCTACAGATGGGAAAAGTGTATTTGCCCAGTGAATCTGATGATAGATGAGATGTGTATTCCCAACTGCACTGATCCCATAAATTAAGCTGTTGGGACTCACAGCCTGAGAGTCTGCACGCAGACCTTCCCATTAAGACCTAGAGAACCACAGCAGGGAAGTGTGATCAGGAGATCAGTCAACTTTTAATGGACTCACAGCTTTTGTATCCACTCCAGTAGATCCTGGAAGCAGTTTGTACAGATCCCTCCAAACTCCCTTATAGAAATGAGACCATGTCAATTTTTGGAAAGGTCCAAAAGGCTGGATATATGTGAGATATGAGGCAATGGCTCAACTCCCGAGCAGGACATTAAAGTTCACTTTGTATTTTTCTCCCTTTCCCCTATTGTTAAAACAGATGAAAAGCTTAATTTACACTTTATTTAATTCATACAACTTGGGTATTTGCTACAATAACATAAGAATATAAGAAATGCTAGACGAAAAAAGACCAAGGTCCATCTGGTTTGACTTCCATCTTCCTGCCGGTCGCATGCACGTATGTCCCAAACTATCTATGTATTATATCCCATAATGTTATTTCCTAAAAGAAAACTATCTAATCTGTGTTTGAAAGAATCAGCACTTTCTGCTTCAACCATCTCCCCAGCGAGCTGTTCCACAGGTTCACTATTCGCTTACTGAAATAGTGTTTCCATAGATTCGTTCTGAATTTATCCCCCTCCAATCACAGGCCGTGTCCTCTGGTTTTACTGTTCTGGACTAGTTGAAACAGCCTGTCATGGTCTATATTGTCTAGCCCCTTTAGAACCGGGAAAAACTGTTTCCACTGGCATGTAGGTCAGTAACCCAAGGACACCGATTTAAGATAGTTGTTAAAAAAAACAGAGGGCAGGTTAGGAAAAATTTTTTCACCCAGCGAGTTGTTCGGATCTGGAATGCATTACCTGAAAGGGTAGTGGAAGCCAATTCAATAACAACTTTTAAGAGAGAAATAGATAGGTATTTGGGGAGGACAAGATTGCAAGGCTATGGAGAGAAAGCGGGCCAGTGGAATTGAGTTGGATTGCTCTTTTAGGAGCCAGCGCAGACACAATGGGCCGAATGGCCTCTTTCTGTGCTGTATGATTCAGAAGGAGGCCATTCAGCTCATCATATCTGTGCCGGGTCTTTGAAAAGAGCTTCCAATTCAATCCCTGCTCTTTCCCCATAGCCCTGCAAACTTGTCACCAAATAAATAAAAGTTGTTATCGAATCGGCTTCCACCACCCTTTCAGGTAATGCATTCCAGATCCGAACAACTCGCTGTGTGAAAACATTTCTCCTCACCTCCCCTCTGCTTCTTTCAACAACTATTTTAAAACTATTTTAATATGTACTACATTAAAGTGAGCAAACAAAAATAAATGCTCTAGGAAGCATGCATCAGTGGAAATCACATATTGTGTGTCTCAGATCCTGCCGAGTTTGCTTTGTGTCCGGCTTCAATAGAGGAAAGGTTCACAAGTACAATTCTTGTTGTGAATGCACTGTTCCTTCACTCTCTGTATATGGGGAGGAGATATTGCTGATTACTGCCAGGGAATTTGCAATGTGACCCCAAAACTCTACTTTCACTCTCATGATACCAGACCTTTACAACACGGTCACATATTACCACAAATATTTGGCTTTAAAACCAGCCTCAGTGGGTTGTGGATTGCATGGAATTAATGCAAGAAAATCAAATCAAGTGCTAATAGAATCGGTTTCATTTTAACACAAATCAGATTGATTATATAATGACCCTACCAGCATACTAACGGAGGGTAAGGAAAAATGAATAAAGAAATGGACTGAGGGAGGACGAAACATGGTAGTGGCAGGTATGAGGACAAACAATATTCCGTTTCTAGAAGCTTAGCTTGCTCTCCTCAAGCTGCTATATTTTTACATTTTATAGTTTTATATTTGGGGGTGAAGTTAGCAGTACATTTATCACATTGTGTGGGGGAAAGGCCCACTCCCTTGATGCTTCTCTTGATGTTTTCAACAGTTTTCAACCTCTGCAAAGCCATGTCTGCAGCACTGCATTGCCAGCTATGGTTTTTGATTGTTCAGTTAACCAGACATTGGATTTTTGCTAAACAAAAATGTAGACTGTGGTATATGTTTCTGCTTCTTATATCTCATCATAATTATAAGCACACTGCATGCTCTCTTCAGTAGAAGATAGAATATTAAAATAAAATTGTCATTGTTTATTACCATTTGATGTTTTTTCCCATCCCATTACCTGCGGAGTGCACCAAGGTTCCATCCTTGGCCCCCTTATTTTTCTTATGTAAATACTCCCTCTCACCAATGTAAATAAGGAAATAATAATAAATAATGTCAATAATGTAAATCTAGAGATATAAACCAGCTACAAGTGATGATATTGAAATGCAGTGTAGATATTTGCCTTGCCCCTTCCTTCCCCATCTTCAGGTCACACCTGAAGACCTTCCTCTTTGACCGAGCCTACAGTCACCTCCCCATCCCCCCCCAGCTCGGCATTGTGTTACGCCACTGTCAAGCATTCTGGGATGCTACCCTGTGTGAGGGGCGCTATATAAATGCGAGTTGTTGTTGTTGTTGTTGTTGTTGACATTCATAAAGTCCTCTAGCTTAGTGGTTAGAGCACTCGCCTCGCAAGCGAGAAACATGGGCTCGATTCCCGGTAGGGCAAAACAGTGGGCAAGTTTCCTTACTCCACACGCCTCTGTTTACTTAGTAGTAAGTAGGAACCCGGTTAGTCGATTGCTTTTCCGGGAAAAAACTAATTTTAAAAAATAATAAATTGGTCACTCAATCCATGACTGTTTGTGGGACTCCGCTGTCTGCAATTAGCTGCCACATTTCGCCCACAGAATATACAGTCAATTCACTTACAGTATATTTTGTGAGAGCTTTGAGATGTCTCAAAGATGTGATTATATCAAATGCAAGGATTATTATTATTATCATCATCATGCTTGGAGCCCACAAAGGCTGAGGGATTTGAAGCAGGTCAGTGCTTGTTAAGTGAAGGGAGTGGCTGGGTCGTACAGTCGAAGGAGGTCGCAGAGATAGGGTGGGGCAAATCTGTGGTGTTGAACAACAAGGATCTTGAAGAAAATTCGCTGGGAGATAGGGAGTTAATGGGGCTCATTGAAGATTGAGGTGATAGGAGATGATAGCCCCACATTGGGATTTGGATTGGGTGTTCAATTGTTTACACTCTTGACTGGTCACAGGACTAGAGATTTAAAACAACAACTTGAATTTACGCGGGTAGCATCCCAGAGCACTTAAACCAGCTTCAAGCAATGATACTGAAATGCAGTATACAGAAATTTTCCCTATATCCACTGCCACATTCTGGATTCTCTCTGGATGAAGATAAAAGCCACTAAAATCAAATAATATGCTGGGTGTGTATAATAATAAATAGTATTATCTGTTCTTATTACTGTCATTTGTTACATACTGAATTTCAAAGGAAAATTCTACATTTATAATCAAGTTAGATCATATACTTTACTTATGATATGAATAGAAATTCTCCATTTAAATTAAGATGGTATAATAATAAACATTACATTTGATATAGCATAGAGAGGAGATGGAGCTTAGGTGGAAAGAATGAGATTTGAAATAACATGAAGCGTATTTCATGAGACATAATTGTTGACCACACAACCTTGGCACGGTTGTACACAATTCCAAGTTATTCAGTGTCTTGAGGGAAGGAAACAAAATCACAGTTACATTTCTCCTGATTCACTAAGTAATCAAGCAAAATCTCCACAATGTCAATCTAACATTACAGCAATGATTCAGTGCTGAGTAGTTGCATTCCACAGATTGTATTCTTATGTGTTTGGATGTATTGAAGCCATAGCATTGAATATACAGTAATAATGTACTTTACTTTCTAAACTAGTGTAACTAATGTAATGTGTGTAAACCTGGCGCATTGGTAGCACTCTCCTGAGTCAAAAAGTTGTGGGTTCAAGCCCCACGTCGGGATTTGGAATCACACAGTCTAAGCTGACACTCCAATGCAGCGCTGGGGGTGTATTGCATTGTTGGAGTCCTTTGGATGAGAGGTTAAACTGAGTTTCTCTCTGCCTGTTCAAGTGAATGTTAAAGATCCCATGGTACTATTCGAAAAGAGTAGTTTCCCCTGTGTCTTGGCCAACAATCTCCTAAAATAAAATTGGTTACTCACTCCATGACTGTTTGTGGGGCATTACTGTGCACAATTGACTGCACGTTAAGCTCATGAAATACAGTCAATCCACTTCACAGTATATTCTGTAAAGCGCTTTGAAACGTCTCAACGACATGATAAGGCACTATATCAAATGCAAGGACTATTATTATTAACTAACCTTCAAACTACTTAACAATTAGAAATCAATCCGCCTATTTTAACAAAAACAATATTAATTTGTTCCATTAAATTAAGACGTGAAA